GCTTTTGTAATTTCATAGCATTAAGCCATGTCAGTTAATCAATCTTAGATGAAGGCAATAGAAGAAATCTTGTTGGGAAAGCCTCCTGATAGCGTTTCATTAGTAAGAGTCAGTTTGAATGAATATACCAATAAAGGCTTGTATAAATGAACACAATGGTTTATGTGAACATTTATAGTAAAGGTGAAGAGAAACTACCATCATGAGAAGGTCAAGGAAGAACTGATGAGAAAAACAGTGTTTTCTTTTGGGGGCAAGGTATAAGATTCCCATACACACATTTAAGTTTACCATAATTACAAGTCCTGCCAAATTCTGGGGCATTAAAAAGAACACTGTGGAAGGAAAATGTACATTTTCTTGAATAGGCAATTATATGTCTTAAACTACATTAGCTATCTTGTACCAGTTTTCAAACACAGGCTTTCTCCTAGTTCTTGAAAAAATTCCCTTCTTTTAGTACCCGAATCTTACCTTGGGAGTACTGCTGTATTCTGTTTTATATGGCAACCATAACAGGAGATATTGAGCAATAAACAAATCATTTTTATTTTATTTTAAGGCTCAACAGCCATTAGCCCAAGCAGGGTTGTGTTTATCTCATAGTAAAATGGGTCTTTCTCCTGTTATAGTCCTATGAAATCCCACCCCATGGATACCTGAAAAACCAACCTGTCCTGCATATCTGGAGCTGTGTTCTTTTATAAAACAATTGTGTTTTTCCCACTGTAGTTTGACTTATCAGTAAACTCACTGCTGATATTTTATTTTGCATCCAAATGTCAAAAGGACATAGGGCCCATCCAGACAGGGTCCAAAATGTGAGAACTTTTGTGCTTTTATCAGAGGCATAAACAATGCTTGCAGTAAAAGAAGAATAAATCATGACAAAGTAGGCAAACCCTGCTTTGTCACAAATTATTTAGATGCCCCATTAGACCCGGGTCTTCCTGAAACACCAGGGTCTAATGGAATATGGGCCCTGTGGGGCCTGACCCCTCAATAGAAAGGAAGTTTTAATTGGAAGCTGGAAACAAAGATCACTATAGTGTATACAGGATTAGCAATCTGTTGTATAAATGTCTTGTACTTTGTAATCTTAACAAACACCCAGGATAAAGCATCATCATCCATTGCTTGTTACATTACAACAGCTTCCTTCCCATTTCTTAACCCACAGTCAGGAAAGATTACTGGAAAAATGGTGTGTGGTCAACCTAGTCTTGGTTAACTGTTGGTAGTGGAAATGCAACTACAATAAAATGTTAGAAGGAAGAGAAAAAAGAGGTTGCTTCATAGGCATAGCTTTTGATAGAATTGCTCGTGAATCCTGTTTGGGCATTGTCAAACTTATCAGTTGATACCATACTTATAGTCCTTCACATAATCCTGTCCCCCAACTAGGGCACTGGTGTCCTTTGCTCTGTCCATTGGCAGTATTCATGTAAATTCTCCTTATCAACTTCAGAAAGAGTAAACCTATGCATCTCTTTGTGCCTTTACACCTGTCCCTGAAAAAGAGTTATTTCTTATATGACAATTGCACATGCAAGTTGGACTTCTGTGTACGCAGTGTAGTTACTGACTCAGAGTACTATCTGAATTCCAAATTCTATACTAGAGTCATTGCATTTTTTGTCTTTTTAGATAAGGTCTGCTTATGAGATAGGTGTGTGATATAAAATGTGTTTCAGATTTTTTAAAAAGGCATGCAATGCCTCAAGGGAGAGAATTGTATTATTGAGAGTTCAACTCAGTAAGTCTTGCCTATTTGGGACTAGAGTCTTGGCCAGTAGCCCTTTCAACTCAAGATAAATGATGTCCAGAAATTGGGACTGAAGAAGCATTTTTTTTCTCCTTCTCATGGTTTCCCTTGATCCAAATTCTATCTACTACATGGATAGCCTCCATGCAAAAGCCAAGGCCCCTATATAATTTGGACATGAATAGAGAGGGGATGTGGAGGAGAGGAAAGTGGATATCACAGTTGAAATATATGTTCCTTTACTTCAATAAAAACTTTAGCTAGAAGAACCCTGTTGACTATAAGGGCATAGATGTAGGTAATCCAGGGTGTTGGACTGGATAGTCCTTGTGGTCTATTCCAGTTCTATGATTCATGTCTCATGTACACATCATACATGTGATTTGGTTAGATTTGTTTTTATCCATGTAATTTTCCACTGACTATTCCCAGGTTAAATGACGTGTGTCCAGATATGTTCATATTTAGAGAGAGTTCATTGAAATTAATAGGAATTAAGTTGTCTTAATGGACCTGTCCCCAATGGTTTTAGTATATCTTCTTTAAGCCCTGCTCATAATAACTGTGACTATGTTGTGGCACTTTTTAATTCACAAATATCAAAGAAGTGAAGGCGTCCTGCATGTTGCATCCCAGTTCAAGAAACAAGACCATAAGATTAAATCCACCACTCTGGACTGTAGGAAAAGCAATCCTTGTTTATTGATGAAAAATTGGTTACAAAAGAAAGGTAAATGCAGAGTAAAAAAGCCACAGAAAAACACAGTAGTCCATAGGATCTCTGAACTTGAGCAAAACTTCAAAAGCCACAAAACAATAACCAGGAGTCTGTTAGCCTTTTACTAACCATGAACTTGGAAACTACAAGCCTCTGGGATTACTGGCCATGGAACACAGGAATTCTGCCAAGACCAGCCACAGTCCCGAACGTTGCTTGACCTAAAGAAGCACCCGGCAGGGATGCTCTTAAACCAAAGAAGCTATTCTTAGAAACACCCCTTGACTTTTCTGTTTGGGACTCTTTCTGCTGAAGACGCTGTGACCTTCGTACAGACTGGGAAACAAATCTATCTCTCACTATCTGTTCTCTTCGGACCTCATTATCAAGCCCAGGTGGGGAGATATCACGGCTAACTTCCAAAACATTCTCTTCTAACTGTTGGGTTTCGTTTTCATTCCCACTGACCTCTGCATCAACAACAGATTCCACACTGTCAGAGTCAGGGAGAGCTTGCTCAGTTTGAAAAACTATCAGAGAATCCTGTTCACACAGATCAGGATCAGACTGAACCCCAACACTGCATATCATGATCTGTTTAGAATTTGCAAATCATATCTATTGGAAAAAGAAGAGAATGTTCCCAAGACAGAATAAAACACACATGCACAATTATCAATTTATTATTAAATCTAAGTTTGTTGTCAAACCAATATACTCTACTAGTTGTTAGACTAGTAGTATTTGATATGTGTGTGTTGTCAACTGCAAGTAAACCAGTTTTTGTATCACCAGTAAGTCTTATCTTCAGAATATACTTGTTGGATAGTGAGAGTTTGAAGTTATTGGATGACTCTTAAATTGGAGATACCAGAGCTTGGAAAAGTTACTTTTTTGGACTGCAACTTCCAGAACCCCTCCAAAAACACTGCATTTATTTATTTATTTACTTACTTCATTTATACTCCACCATTTCTCCCCTTCAGGAGACTCAAGGAGGCTTACAACTCCCGTACAATTCAATACTGTACAATTCAACAGTAAAAACAATATCATACCCTCCTCCATTAAAACAATAAAAACAATAACATACCCTCCTCCATTAAAGCGGTTAATAATTAGTTAATATTATTATTTCTCAGTGATTCTGTGAGATGAAGAGATTTTTTCCAAGGTCTGTGAAAAACAAAACTAAAAGTTTAATTTATGCAAAGGCCATGCTATCAAGATGATTGCCAGCATGGTATAGCTATTTGAGTGTTGGATTGGGATGTTGAAAGTCCAGGGTTCAAACCACTTCTCAGTCATGGAGACCACTCTATGACCCTGGGCAAGTCAAGCAAATAGGAAATCTCATCTGAATAAATTTGGCCAAGAAAAACGATGATTGGTGGTCATAGTTCAGAATCGATATACAGCAGCAGCAACCAGTATAACTGGCCTTATATCACTTTGTTATTCCTTTGGAAAAACAATGAGAACTTCTGTTTAATCAGTTAAACCTGTGCTGAACTCAATAGAAATAAACCACTGATTTTAAAATTCTACTGCAAAGACTCCCACACAAACAACAGTTGATAGTAAATCAAATTTATTGTGGGGACACTGGTTTGTACTCTGCTTAACTCCAAACGCTTTGAGAAAGAAACATTCTAAATCTCCATCATTGAAGCAGTTTCATTAAAAAGCTATTGAATGAAACACAGAAATTTGTTGGTCCTCACTGCTGTCTATATATGTTCCATTGTAAAGCTTAACTGTATTGTATAAAATGAGTAAAATTACAAGGAAGGAAGGGAGGGAAGGAAGGAGGTTGCTCGCTAGTAAAGTACAGATTTAAGTGGCATGTGCATTAAGCTTCACTTGCTGATTTCTCAGGATGGTGAAAGAGCATGAGTTCATGGAAAATGTATGGCAGAAGCCTTAAGTTAAAAAGAGTCTGGAATGGGCACATATACATGCATAGCTGGAATATTTCTCAAGTAATCTGAGCAATTCTCCTTCAGTAAAACCAGAGACGGGCATGTGCCCCCCTCCTCTGCACACATGTGCACACTGTACTTTGAAACTCTCTTCTGATTCACAAAAACAGCTGCCTTGGAGTTGAAATGGCACCAGTCTTTATAAAAGCCATTTTAACTAGGTAAGCACCAGACCACTTCCATCTGTGTTTGTCCATTTGGTAACAATGAGTGTAAGAAATGGTGTTCAGTCGCTATTTTCAAAATGCAAGCAAGCTTCAGTAGAATGTTTAGGGCTGCACCTGGCATGTTTTTAAATAGGGCTATTCATTGTAGTACATCTGTAGCTTTTAGCACCATTAATAAAAAGGGAAAATATTTATTTTAAAACACACTCATGATGAGGATTAAGAAATTCCTAATTACAGTGTAGTGTGGGAGGCTGAAAGTGCATTTAAAAATCCTTGTGATTTAAAATAGAAACGCTCTTAGATGTGCTTTCTTTTTTAAATTTAATAAACATCCTTCCACCTCCTGTTTCCTCATTATTTTTCAGGTCTTGATTCACTCCTGACACACTTGCCATTGCTGCTGATCAAAAGCCAAGGAGCAGCTATGTCAAAAGACTTCAGTGGTATGTGCTTTGCAACATATATTCTGTAGACCTTTTCTTAATGCCAAGTGAAAACTCTTGTGTGTATGTGGTGTGTGGCCGCCTCTCTAGGCTCCCTCATTGAGGAAATGCTTTTGGTCAAAAATATGGAGAATTGCCTTAGATGTTCCATTTCATGGCTATTTTGGTGGGACTGACTTTTGGAGTCCTAAAATAACCTCAATATCAGAAGTAGAAGTGACCACGAAGTCCCTTGATCACCCCATGATGAAAATTGGGATGGACACAGTCCATGGACTTTCCATACTTGCCCACTTTGGCTCTTTTTGCATTCATCTGGCTGCTGAGCTTGAGTGAGCATGTTTACTCATATGGTGGATGATGTGAGTGTGGAGACTCAGTGCTCTCATTCCAGTTACTGTTTTCCTTCCTTGTTCATACAAGAGGAATTTGGTGCCCCCATCTGTACTACCAGGTTGGGAATTACTGCATCTTGTCATCTGAAATTGCTACAATATGGGTGTCCCCAGTTTTCAGAACATTGGGAGATGTAGTGAATACATGGAGGCAAAGTCTATGCTACCTACATATTGGTAAAATGAACGTTCTGTTCATTTGTACATGAAGGCTTTTAGCATTGTGACGTTAAGTGCATCCTTGGGCTACTAAATTCCATATTTAGTGTTTAGTTGATGCTAACTTTTATTTTACTTCAGCTAAGTACAGGGAAAGGAAACACTTCCATTTCTGAATGGCCATGTTTAAATATTTGAGAGGATGTAATATCAAAAATGGAGTCAACTTGTTTGCTCCTCCAAAGACTAGAGGTGCATCTACAGCAGTGGTTCTCAATCTGTGAGCCTCCAGATGTTTCGGCCTACAACTCCCAGAAATCCCAGCCAGTTTATTAGTTGTTAGGATTTCTGGGAGTTGAAGACTAAACATCTGGGGACCCACAGGTTGAGAACCACTGATCTAGAACGAATGCAATGTGACACCACTTTCACTGCTACACTTCACTGCTATGGGATCATGGAAGTTGTCATTTTACAGCATCTTTAGCCTTTCCTGCCCCGAAGTGCTGGTGACTCACCAAATTCCCATGTCTCCATAGCATTACATCATGACAATCAAAGCATCAAACTACATCCATTCTATAGTATACATGCATCCTCAGTCAAGTTCGACACGTCTTATCAAAATATTAGGAAGAACTTTAGATGGTAAGGGCTGTTTGGCAGTGGAATATGTAACCTTGGAGTATATGAATATAAAGTAGATTTATAGTACTTTAACTGTGTAGTGTGGAAAGGTCCCAGGCATAATATTAATAATGGTTTAGCATTATATGAGAGAAGCTGTGGCATATTCATTAGAAGATGATTAGAATATTTTCCTTCTGTTCTCAGATGATGGTTTCATGGTGCATTGAAATCTTAATTGTATGAAAATATTAACCAGTGGCTTGACTTAACTCTTAATTTATTGCAACTCCAGAAATTCATAAGCCATGGTTTGAACTTGGATTGTTTCAATAAATCATAAATAGTTAAATTTGTCTCGGTTCGAGTGCATAGCTGAACTGCAGTAAGTTAAAAATAGATGGAAAAGAGCCGACCTCCTCTTTGCAACTCTGGTGAGTGAGATGGAAACTGACAACCTCAAGACTAATTTACTTAATGCCAAACCATAGTTAAATATTGTGTTAGCATGCAACTATTTTCTTTGGTTGCATAACACCCATAAGCAATCTGATGCCCTCCAGATGTGCTGAATTGGGGAAGCCAACATTGTAGTATATTCATCCTAACGGACTGCTGTTTTAGAGAGGTGGATCTCATGCCCATCTTAAGCCAAGTCTCATTGGCCTCGAATGACTTTTTAAAATTAGTTGCAGCATATCCCTTGAGCAGGCTAAGTTATTCAGTTCTTTGGTGATGCTGGGCTTTTTGGGCTTGCTTCATTCCGACTGACTAAATTGATGATTAGCTGCAAGAGAGTTACAAGGTGTGCATGTCTACCTATATTCCTCCTGGACTTTGTGTTTGCATTCAGTACAGCAACCATGGAAGACTTCTGGATCAACTAACTTTGCTAAAATTTGCTAAGTGGCAGGTGAAGCCCAACCTATTTTATCATTAACTGTGTATTAATGATGCTTCACATTGCTGTTAGCTATACTATTTTGCTCTTTTGTGTTATGTTTTTTTTAAATAGTATTTTATATAACCCCATCCTGTGGCTATCTTTTGATGAAAGGAAGGCATGCAAAGTGGACTGTCATCCACAAAAGGTCGTGCTCATCTTTAAAAGTAAGACAGTGCTCCCTTTGCAAACTGTGCCTTAGGGCTTATTATATAAACTTCAGATTTTAGCATTCATTTAGAGAAACCTTTTTCATCCTGCTGCCAAATACATCCCTCTAGGTGTGTTAGATTACAGCATTTACCATTTTCCTGCCAGTGTAGGGTTAGCCATGATGCCTTGAGATGATAGAGGTTGTTGGCAAGGGTAGTTTGGTTTGAGTATGGATTATTTTTTACTATTACATCTTGTTTAATATTGAGGATTGAACATGTAAGGAATGGAAATTGTTTTAGATATTTGTGGGCATTTATTTTGGTCGTGTAAATATACATCCAGTTGGTTTATATAGCATTTCACAATGTAATGTTTACTAAAAAGAGATATCCTCTATCCTAAAGAGCATATAAACTGTTTTGTACCTTTTGATAGAGGACATGGCAAAATGGAGCAGTAGATAACTAAGAAATTCAGTTTTGGAAGACACTATGTTAAATACTCATATTACAGGGTATGGATTTATATAAAATATATGTATTTGTAGCACTTGTATTACTATGTAATGATCTAAAAACTGTTATTGAAATTAACTTTATATCCTGCCTTTACCCGTAAATTGGGACAGGCATGGTTACAACAGCTGTTTGTATGAAGTCAGTGGTCTAAGGGTGCATCTATGTTGTAATAATTTTGCAGTTTACACCTCTTTAATGGTTATGGTTCAGTGCTATGGAATCCTGGGACTTGTAATAATAATAATACTCTATTTATATTCCGCCCTTCTCCCCAAGGGGACTCAGAGCAGATTACAGTATTTACATACATAGGCAAACATTTACAATAATATATAATGAGACACACAAAGAAAGGCAGAGGCTTCTCCTTTCATTTCAGGCTTCTTAGGGCAGTGTTCATCTCTGGCTCAGGGGAGGTGTTTTTCGTCATTTTCAAGCTGAGGAGCCTGCGTTGTCACCTCCTTGTTGTGTGGCCAGCAAGATTGCTTGGAGTGTCTCTTCCCACTGAAGTAGTAACTATTTATCTACCCACGTTTGCATGTTTTCAAACTGCTAGATTGGCAGGAGCTGGAGCTGGCAGATGGGAGCTCACCCCATCTCACGGATTCAAACCTCCAACCTTCAAATCAGCAGTTCGACAGCACAAGGGTTTAACCCGTTGCACCACTGCGGCCCTTGTAGCTTGGTGAAGCATCATAACTCAAGCAGAGGAGGCTGCAGATTGTATCAAACTACAGCTGATACAATTCCATAGCATTGAGCCATAGCAGTCAGAGTGGCATCAAACCGCATTAATTGTGCAGTGTAGGTGCACCCTGAGATGCATGCTCCTACCAAGTATTGCTAGCTATACCTGTAGCCCTAGGAAATACTTTGCATATGTAGCAAAATTTAGTTTAATCCATAAAGTCTTGGGCCATAGTAAATGTGTTAATTTGCAACCAAAATAGCAGTGTCACTGTCATACCCATCCCATCTCCCCCCACCTTGGTCCTTTGGAAACAAACAAAAGTGGTACCTACAATGGGGGCAATGTTCCTCTGTGCCTGTGGCAAACAAGTATAAACTAAAGACCCCATATTTCAGATTTGGGACCATACAGCTCTGGCAGTTTTAGAAAACTGAACAAGGAAGTTACTCAAATAGAACATGAGACAGGAAATGTCATGCTTAAAATTAAAAGCTGAACTGATGCATTTTCACCCAGCCCAGTGTTCTTCTTTGTACATTGAAAAATATCTGCATTCATATGAGTCAGAGAGAATGAGCAGAACCCCTCTCCCCCAAATCCGGATAATACCCTTATTCAGAAATGGTGACTGGGTTCTTTAGGCTTGTTTACTGCTGTGATCTTAGACGTGTACAGGACATTAATATCTCTGTGCTGTAATAAGCAATTGGAATGGATATGAAATTAGCTAGGAGCCAGTGTGATGGAAGTGGAAGAAAAAGGCTGAAAATGCAGAGAACATTGATCGCCCTGCTTACAGATTTAAAACTACAAAGGGGAAAATAGGAAAGGACACTGAATAACTTAATGTTAAAGCCAGCTCCTTAACATTCAAATCTTGCTTAGGAGTTTCTACCACACCCCAAAGTAGATTTCCTAATAACCATTTCTTATTAATGTACCAGATGTTGTTGCCTGGCTCATGTGTTATTTGCCCCTTTGGGTATTGTTTGTATATATATTAATGAACAATTACTTTAAAAGACATAAAATGGCTATTTGCCCTCAGCTGATTGGGTGGAGCTAGAATGGAGTGGCTTTGAAGGCCATTTTAGTGCATTTCCTGTATTTTAATTCTGGGTTCCCCCCCCCCCCCCCACACACACACACAGTTACTATTTGATTGTTTTTTAAGCTTTGTATTGGTCTTTTTAACTTCTCTAGTGTGGATTTTTTATTTATTATTTATTTATTTGCTGCATTTCTCAGCCAGAGGTGACTCAAGGCGGTTCACAGTCGGCAGCAATTCAATGCCATAGCAAATATCAAAATACAGTTAAAACAATTATAAAAACAATCCAACATTTAAAATGTAATATAAAAAGCAAATATATCTGTAAAAAAAAAGATCCTTGGCGTCTCCTTACTAAAATTGTTGTCCAGTTGCATCATCAGTCATTCCATATATTCATTTACGTCTAATTATGCCCCAGTAGTAAAACTTGCTCAAAGAGCCAGGTCTTAACCGTTTG